TGAATTTGCCGGCTTCTACACGTTTGTGAGCCATTTATCTAAGATAAATCTCTCTCTCTCTCTCTCTCTTTCTCTCTCTATAAATATATATATATATATATATATATATATATATATACTTTGCTGGTTTTTGTGTTTCTCTAGAGAACCCAATCCAACACACCACCAGAGCTCCCGTGGAAAGAGTAGTAAGCTGTAAAACAAAACCTAGCCTCTCATTCTGGTTTTGCCACTTATCAGCCATGTAACACTGGTTAATCATTTTACTTTTCTGAGCCTCTGTGTCTTCATTATAATTGCCCTGTCTAAATCAAGGTCGTTAAGACTCATGAGCTGTAGATATCAAATGGGTTTTCAAAATTATGAAATTCCTCTTGCAGTTTGAAAAGTTGGTCTCATGGCATTAGTAATACAGAGAGTTATTGTTGCATCTCAAATTCTATATTGCATCATACATTCCTGTCCAGCCTCAGTGGCATCTTCATTCAGTTTTGTAGGCTCAGAATTTTGGTTTCCTCAGCACATTGTGTTGAGTCTCAAAGGCTGACTGGTTGTAAACCAAACTCACCAAGTGTCAGTTTATTAGTTTATAATAAGAAATAACTTGTCATATATACCAAAGAGATCATCTTGACAGGAGCTTAATTCTCTCCCTTTGGGCAAGCTTTTTTTGTAAATGTGCTTTGGATGTAAATTTACAAAGCAAATTTGTTTTACATTAAAAAATTCATGCCCATTTGATTTCATACTCCAATTACATCCCAACCATAAAAAAAACTCTCCTCCCCTCCCCTTCTCTCCCTGTAACTACCCCCTCCCTGTGCTCTTCTTAACTACGCATTCCTGTCTGTCCAGCTTTCCCTCTTATGTGCATGCTGCCCATCTGGTGTCTCATGGCTGATTGCTCTAATGGGTGCATCTCCCTAGAGTAGCTGAGTACCTCACCCTGGGGTAAGTGTTCTGCATATAGGTCTTTCTACTGTTGGACTGAGAGCCAATCCATAGGAGTGAGTCCATTTCTAGCCCCAAAGGGTAACCTGGGGCCATAGTTTTGGGGGTTTCACCAATCTCTCTCTGACCAGCAATTCTGGTCATTTTTATGTTTTTGAATTTTGTTTCACATTATTCCTCCCACTCTGTCCAAGATCTCCAGTTTTGATCCCTTTCCAAGTAGTTGGCATTGGTCTAGTTCTTCTGGTTTCAGGGTCATGAAGGCTGAGGTCCTCATGGTCCATCTTATCCTTGGACTAATTGTTTCCATATGACTTTGATTTTCTTCACTCTTCTTTGATTCAGATGAGAGGAGACTAATAGTTGTATCTTAGATGGCCACTTGAAAGCTTTTAAGACCCCAGTCACTACTCACCAAAGCAGGTTGTAGAACAAGATTTTTATGGACTATGTTGTGCCAATTGAGCATGATGTCCTCCAAGGCTATCAGCCCGAGTCCGCAGGCCTGGTGATTCTGAAGGTGTTTGGTTGTCTCTGAGAAGTTACTCCAACTCTGTCTTCTGTTGCTTCTGTAACATATGTGGCTAATTTTATAGCACAACTGCATATTTAAGATTATCTTTAGCCAAATCTATCCTTGGTCTAGGGTATATTCCTCTTCGCCTACCCCCACCTGATTTTCTCACCTGTCTATACATTTATCTATAGGCTGGTTTTTGGTATTAGAGTTCTGGTGGCATAATGCCTAAGGCATTTGACTGCTAACCAGAAGGCTGATGGTTCAAACCCACCAGCCACTCCTCGGAAGGAAGGTTGGGCAATCTATTTTCATAGTGATACCTCCTCGGAAACCCAAGGAGGGGTTGCTATGAGTCGGATCCGACTCGACGGCAGTGAGTTTGGTTTGGTTAGTAATGTGGTATTATGCACATACTAGTATTTGCCTCTGTTGTCTATATCTTATGTGTACATTTCAGTGTCCTTCCTTTCCCCAGTGTCATCATGCTGGTCACAGACTCTTTCCATACCATCCCTCCCCTCACCCAAATCAACAAATGACCCCCAACTAGTCTGAAATTTTCCCTCCTCTTCCCTCCCGTCCCTGGTAACCACCAAAGTGAATTTCCTTCCCTGAGTAAACCCTTCCTTGACTTTTTACAATAATGGGCTCATATAGTATTTATCCTTCCGTGATTGACTTAACTCACTCAGCATAATGTCCTCCACATTCATCCATGTTGTGAGATGATTTGTGTATTCTTCATTATTCTTTAATGTTGCATAGCATTCCATTGTGTGAAGGTACCATAGTTTAGTTATCCATCGTTATGCTGATGGGCATTTAGGTTCTTTCCATCTCTTTGCTATACTGAATTGTGCTGTGATGAACATAGGTGTTCATATGTCTGTCTGTGTCCTGTCTCTTACCTCTTTAGGATATATTCCTAGTAATGGAATTGCTGGATCAAATGCAATTCTTTTTCTGATTCCTAGTAATGGAATTACTGATCAAATTCAATTTTTTAAGGAAGCACCATACCATTTTCCATAATGGTTGTACCATTTTCCAGTTCTACCAGCAATGTATGAGAGTTCCAATCTCTCCGCAGCCTTACCACCATTTGCTATTTTCTGTCTAGTTGAACTTTGCTATTATTGCTGGGTTGAAATGATACCTCATTGTTGTTTTGATTTGTATCTCTCTAATGGCTAATGATAGTGAGCATGTCCTCATGTGTTTGTTGGCCACCAGTATATCTTCTTTACTGAAGTGTCTGTTCATGTCACTTGGGCAAGCTTTTTTTTGAAACCTAAGCTTTGTGAAGCTTTGTGAACATACAAGAAAACATCATGAGTTGGAAGGCACTTGTTGGACGAGACACAGTATGAGCAGGAAGGTTGGGCAGTCAGTCTACTTTCATAGTGATACTGCCTTAGAAACCCAAGGAAGGGTCGTCATGAGTCAGATCTGACTTGATGGCAGTGCATTAATGGCTGCACAGCTCTCTCAGTGTTACTTAGAAGGTCATCATCACCCTGCTCTGGTACTCTAGGCTTCCATAGACTTTTTCAAACTAGATACAATTCATTTAAGTTTTTGCTTACTGAATTCCAGTTGCATTCAAATTATGCTCCTTAAGATTAAACCTATCACCTTGATTGGATTTGGGGTTGTTCCACAACTCTTCGTACTTTTCAGACAGTCTCTTCATCTAGGCCACAGAGAGCTAATCACATTGTTGATTTAACTCCAAGAGTTCCATGTATTGTCAGGATACAATTATTTAGAAATCTTAATTCTGTTAACATGAGGAAGGAGAAACCTCTTCTATAATTCTTTGTCCTCTTTTGCAATGATACAATGAAAACTCTTGTAGGGTGGTAGAAAAGAACTTATACAGAAAAGACACCAACCCTTTGAAAGGTAATTGTTCTGTAGTTGGAGAATAGGTTAGTATTGTTCCAAGGCCATGCCTTTACTATATTTATATGTATGTATGTGTATATACATATATATGTGTGAATGTGTATATTTCGTTTGCAATTAAGAAAATTAAGAAAAATTTACTAGTATTTAATATTCTTGTTTAGGAGCTCTGGTAGCATAGCGCCTAAGGCACTTGACTGCTAACCAGAAGGCACCAGCCACTCCTTGGAAGGAAGGTTGGGCAATCTACTTCTGTAGTGATACTGCCTTGGAAACCCAAGGAGGGGTTGCTGTTAGTCGAGGTGACTTGATGGCACATAACAACAACAATATTCTTGTTTAAATCTATGCTAAAAGGCTTCTTGACTAGAGAACGAAAAGAAACCTTTCCCTGTTTCATAAATAACTATACAAGCAAAAATATAAACCCTTCCTTATTTTCCTTTTTCTCAAAAATCCTTTCCTTCTGATCCCTCAGTCGATAACAAACAGTATCAACTTAAAATCCCCCCACTGTCATCCAGTCGATTCCAACTCATAAGTGACCCTGTAGGACAGAGTGAACTGCCCCATAGAGTTTCCAAGGCTGTAATCTTTACAGAACCAGCCTGCCTCATCTTTCCCCCACAGACCCAGCTGAGCACTTTAACCACTGTACCACCAGGGCTCCTATCAACTTAAAAAGTTACTTTAATATTTTTACATTAAATATTAAATACAGGTTTTACCTAGCACTTCTCAAAGCCACATTTGTAGCCAAAGCTATATTTTAATCTCTCCTGGTTTAAAAACTCTTGTGGGGAGTTCATCTCTAAAATCTGACCTTGCAGCTCTTAATGCTTATAGCAGAGTTGCCTTGTACTTATGAGAGTTCGTAAAATAATATGAAAGTCTTAAAAATAATTTAAAAATCTTAAAAAATGTAAATTATGAATTTTTCTAAATATTTTTTAGGAATTGGTATATGTAGTTCCCATTCAAATGTAAGGAGTATGACAGTACAAAATGAAAGAAAATCCATTACATAGGTTGTGATTTTTAAGGCTCATAAAATTTTTGTGTGTGCTGTGTTTGAGGGTCACCATTTTGAGTAATTAGAATAGCTGTTTCTTTGGCTGTTCTCTAACAACCCCAAAGAGTTCTAGGAAGAGCTGTGTAATATCTGGTATTGAGTGATTCCAAGGGCAGATGTCTGTATGTATTGAGATTGGCACTGTACCCATTCACCTAAGTTAGTGGATATGTTATGACTTCCCTCCCCTACTTCCAGGACTTTGAAGAAGGCTGTTACCTGCTTTGTAAGAGTGAGACCATACAAGTGACATCGAAAGACATCTTGGTTGTAGAGAAAGGAAATACTGTACTAGAGTTTTTGATAGGACTCTTCAAACCTTTTGTGGAATGTTATCAGGTGTGTAAATATTTGGCTTGTTCTCCTTCATCTTCCCTCCTACTCTGTACTTTTTTGGTTTAAAGGGCCAGTATCTTCCCTCAAGTGAGTGGTAGAACTATAGAACTATGAACTCATTGTACATATAGAACTATAGAACTATGAACTCATTGTGTATATAGAACTGTATACTCATTAATACACCAAGTGATTTCACCTTTCAGTTGAGACCTTGCACCCCACATAGAGGAGGAGGCTTGTTCCATCCCAGACCCATGAGTATTAGCTGAATGACACTTTGAACACAGTGTCCATATAGTCACAGACGCACTGTGTGCGCATTGTTGTCCTGCTATAGCTTATATCTTTTGTTTATAGCATGTAGCAAGGTGTTTCTACAGAGTAGGCACTCAAATGCAAGATTTGAGTGCCTACTCTGTAGAAACACCTTGCTACAAGATTTGAGTGATACATTAAGTCACTTATTTCTATTGCTAAATGCTAACATTGAAAGGAAAGAAAAAGGTAAAATATAAGCATCTGAAAAGTTGCAGCACTCATAAAAGTGATTAGAGATAGTGGATAGTACATATGGCCAAAAAGAATTGTGCCAAAATTCAGATGGAAAAAGGGAGTTTGATTGCAAACTGTAAGAGGAGCCCAGTGCACACTTAAGAGAGAGAGGATTCCATGGCCCTCAGCTCTGTTATATCTGCACAGGTTAGAGGCAACAAGTACTGGTTACCTTGCAGAGTAGTGCTTATGGTCAAATAAAATGGCCCATGTCAGCTCCTTGCATGAAGTATAGTAGTATAGTAGATAAATGTTCATTCTTACCTTTTAGCACCTTTTTATAGTTGTTCTTGGGTGCCATCAAGTCAGTTTTGAGTCATAGCAGTTGCATGTACAACACAGAATGAAACACTGTCTGCTCCTGTGCCATCCTCACAGTCATTGCCACACATAAGCGCATCATCAGAGCCACTTTGTCAGTCTATCTCGTTGAGGGTCTTGCCCTTTTTTTTGCTGACCCTCTGTTTTACAAAGCAGGATATCCAGGATATCATCTTCTGATGACATGACCAAAGTATGAGAGACAAAGTCTGGCCATTCTCACTTCTAAGGAGCATTCCAACTCTTGTTCCTCTAAGACAAATTTGTTTGTTCTTCTAGCAGTTCATGGAACATTCAGTATTGTTCGCCAACACCACAATTAAAATGCATTAATGCTTCTTTAGTCTTCTTTATTCATTGTCCAGTTCTCACATGCATATGAGACTGTTGAAAATACCATGGCTTGGATCCAGGCACACATTAGTCTTCAAAGTCACATCTTATCTTTGCTCTTAATATTTTAGAGAGGTCTTTTGCCTCAGATTTGCCCAATGCAATGTTATTTAATTTCTTGACTACTGCTTCCATAAGTGTTGATTGTGGATCCAAGTAAAATGAAATCTTTGAAAACTTCAGTCTTTTCTCTATTTATCATGATGTTGCTTATTGATACAGTTGTGAGGATTTTTTCCTTTATGTTGAGGTGTAATCCATACTGAAGCCTGGATTCTTTGATCTTCAGCAGTAAGTGCTTCACATCTTCACTTGCAGCAAGCAGGTTTGTGTTATTTGCATGTTGCAGGTTGTTAGTGAGTCTTCCTACAATCCTGATATGCATTCTTCTTCATATGCGTTCAGCTTCTTGGATTTGCTTAGCATACAGATTGAATAAGTATGGTGAAAGGATTCAACCCTGACTCATACCTTTTTCTGAATTTAGACCATACTGTATTCCCTTTTTCTGTTCTGGTCTATGTACAGATTCCTCATGAGCACAATTAAGTGTTCTGGAATTCCTGTTCTTTGCAATGTTATGCATAATTTATTGTGATCTACACAGTCAAATGCCTTTGCATAGTCAATAAAACATTTTTTGCTTTTAGCCAAGATCTATCTGATATCAGCAATGATATTCCTCATTCCACACCTTCTTCTGCATCCAGCTTGAATTTCTGGTAAGTTCACTGTTGATTTACTACTGCAGTTGTTTTTGAATTGTTTTACTTGCCTGTGATGTTAATGATATTGTTTGATAATTTCCACATCTTGTTGGATTACCTTTCTTTGAAATGAGCATATATATGGATCTCTTCCAATTGATTGGCCAGATAGCTGTCTTCCAACTTTTTTTTTGGCAAAAATGAGTGAGTGGATCCAGCACTACATCTGTTTGTTGAAACATCTCAATGGGTATTCCTTCAATTCCTGGGGCCTTGTTTTTTGTTTTTTTTGGTCAGTTCCTTCAGTGCAGCTTGGCTTATTTCTTCAATACCATTGGTTCTTGATCATATGCTATAATGGTTGTTGTTGTTATGTTCGAGTCAGACCGACTCATAGCAACCCCTCCTTGGGTTTCCAAGGCAGTATCACTATGGAAGTAGATTGCCCAGCCTTCCTTCCAAAGAGTGGCTGGTGCCTGAAATGGTTAATGTTGACCAATTCTTTTTGGTGCAGTGACTTTGTGTATTCCTTCCATCTTCTTTTGATGTTTCCTGCATCTTCAATGTTTTGCCCATAGAATCCTTCTGTATTGCAACTGGAGGCTTGAATTTTTCTTCAGTGGTTTGAGCTTGAGAAATGCTGAGCATGTTCTTCCCCTTTGGTTTTCCAACTCCAGGTCTTTGCACATTTCACCATAATACTTTTCTTTGTCCCCTCGAGCTGCTCTTTGAAATCTTTGGTTGAACATTTTTACTTCATCATTTCTTCCATTCACTTTAGCTACTCTCTGTTCAAGAGCAAGTTTCAGTCTTTTTATGATACCCATTTTGGCCTTTTCTTCCTTTCCTGTCTTTTTAATGACATTTTGCTTTCTTCATGTATGATGTCCTTGACATCACCCCACAACTCATGTGGTCTTGGGTCACTGGTGTTTAATGTATCAAATCTATTCTTCAGATGGTCTCTAAATCCAGATGTGATATATTCAAGATCATACTTTGATTCTCTGATTCTTAGTGGATGTTTGCAACTGTTTCTTCTCATTTTGAGTCATGTTACGTCAGCAAATAAAGGTCCCCAAATTTTTATCCATCCACATCATTAACTTGAGGAGGCAGCACTTTTCTAGTCATATTTTGTTTCAGTTTTCTTCAGCTTCAAGTTAAACTTGCATATAAAAAATTGGCAATCTGTTCTTACTGGCCTTGTTCTTACTGGCCTTGTTCTTACTGATGATATTGATCTTCTGCAGCATCTCTTCCCACAGATGTACTTGATTTGATATCTGTGTATTCCATCTGGCGTGATCCACCTGTGTCACCATTTATGTGGTTGAGAAAAGGTATTTGTAATGAATAAGCCATTGGTCTTGCAAAATTCTATTATGTAATCTCCAGTATCATTTCTATCACCAAGGCCATATTTTTCAACTGCCAATGCTGCTTCATTGTTTCCAGTTTTCACATTCTAATCATTAGTAATTATCAGTACATCTTGATTGGATGTTTGGTCATTTTCAGACTCCAGAAGTTGGTAAAAATCTTGTTTCTTCATCTTTGGCTTAGTGGTTGGTGCATAAATTTGAATAATAGCAGTATTGACTGGTTTTCCTTGTAGACCTATGGATATTATACTATCACTGGCAGCATTGTACTTCAGGATAGATCTTGAAATGTTCTTTTTGATGGTAAATGTAACTTCATTCCCCTTTAATTTGTCATTCCTGGCATAGTAGACCATATGATTGTCTGATTCAGAATGGCCAATAACAGTCCATTTCAGCTCACTAATGCCTAGGATTTTGATCTTTATGCTTTCCATTTCATTTTTGACAGCTTCCGGTTTTCCTACATTCATGCGTCTTATGTTCCATATTCTGATTATTAATGAATATTTGCAGCTGTTTCTTCTCATTTTGAGGCATGTCACATCAGCAAATAAAGGACCCAAAAGTTTTACTTACATCATTAAGGTTATCTCTAATTTGAAGAGACAGCTCTTTTCTAGTCATATTTTGAGTGCCTTCCAACATGAGGGGCTCATCTTCGGATTTGTATCAGACAGTGTTTCCCTGCTGTTCACAAGCTTTTCAGTGGTCAGTAGTTTTTCAGATGTGGATCCGGACCCATCCTTCTTCCTAGTTTTGTTTTAGTCTAGAAGCTCTGCTGAAACCTGTCCATCAAGGGTGACCCTGCTGGCATTTGAAAAACCAGTGGCATAACTTCCAGCATGACAGCAACACGCAAGCCACCACAGTATGACAAACTGACAGACAGTGATGGTTGTACAGTAGAGATCATCAAGTATTTTAAGGCCTAACACCTCTCTGGGTTTTTAGAGAAAAAAAAGCTAAGTGTATAAAAAAGTCTGAGACCTCTCTTCCCAAGAAGCATTAGCTATATTAAGCTGACAATAATTTATTTAACTTGCAACCCACTAAAGTGAGAAATTATAATTTAATCATGTCAATGCTATTTACTACTTCTTTTCCCTAATTCTAAAAGTAATAGAAACTTAAGAGAGAATTCCTAAAAATCCTTCAACTTCTCTCTGCTCAAATCTAGAAGGTTCTTTATTCTGCTCTAATGTGATATTTCATTCTCTTAAGAGGGGCAATGTGTAGTTATTATTTTACTATATTTGGCTATACATCTTCTCTTTCTCTTCCTCTCATCCTCCCTTTTAAAATCAGATAATTTGCAAATACCTCTTGAAAGAAGAGAACTCCTTCACTGAGAAGCAGTACTTGGCTGGAGTTAGAAAATTTACAAGTGAACTTCTTGATGAAGGTCAGTAACACACTATTTTTGGTGGTAATTTCTCTTAGCTGAGAACAAAAAGTAGTCCATTAACTCTCCCTCCCCCTCTATTTTAGGTACCTCTCAGTGTTATGATGTATTATCTTCTGATGTGCAGAAAAATGCCTTAGCAGCTTTTGTGAGACTAGGTGTGGTAGAGAAGAAGAAGGTGTAAGTACTGTACAAGATTCCGATGGATGCTAAAGGAACCATAACAACTAATAACATTTGAGCACAATATCTAGAGAGGCATAGAAGTGTATGTTGATCTAGTGAACATTATATTGTACTTTATTTATTCATCCCTTAATTTAGTTAAGTCTTATGAATTTTATATGATAATGAAATGAAGGCCAGTATTTTGGTTTTGACCTAATACTGAAATTCTATAGCTCAATTACAAGAAAGTATTTTTTTGGGTAGTGTAATATATGTGTGTGTACATATACACACACATAAATAGTACCTCCATATACATACACACACACAACAGGTTTCCCCTGTTAACTGAAAGCAGAGCATTCCTGTGAAACTTTTGTAAGCCAAAATGGCTTAAATATATTAAAATTTAAAAAATTAATTATCATTAATTTATATGGGAAGTATTTGAGTGTTCCCAGACCCAAAACATAAGCTAATAAATCATTCCAAATAACACATAAAATTTAAAATAACACTAACATACAGTGTTCATCCACAAAGTTCAGAGTTATAGTGGCTTAATGCTGAGATGCTGAGTGTAGTTCCTGGGAAAGGAGCTTGGTAGTGCCACTGTCACTGCTTTTTATGCACTGCCTCTTTAACTACTCACCACAGAACAAACGCTGAAGGATAGTTTTGCTTTTTGCCTTTTTTCTTAAAAGTAAAAATCTTTTTTGTGTTTCTTTCAGTTATTTAAAACCCATACTAATGTAGGTCTTTCCTAAAAGTGAAGTGGCATAAAGCAAACTTTCAAAAAGTGGGGGATGCCTTTTTGTGTGTAAAATTATGTTTGGTATAAGGTAAAGTTTTTAAGGACAAAATGTTATATTAGCAAAACATAGAATACATAGACAGTTGGTCTTTGACACATCTGGCTTCTTCTTGAAGCATCTCTTCTTTACTGTCAGAGAACAGTGTCCTTCTACAATAGGAGAACTTGCTCTCAAAGTAATCTATAATTTACTTTTTTGAGTGAATGAACTCTAGACTCACAAAGCTTACTAGGTAAACTCTCCAAGTCATTGTATTTGGTCAGAAGAATGAAAGACCAACTACTTAAGATTGCCCTTGAGGAAGACTAGTTAAAATTTGTCTTACTGTATATATAACTAGGAACAAAAATACAATAATGAAAGTTGTCTTTACCCTTGTTTTATATAGTAACAAAGCTTGTTATTCTTTTTTCTCTTAGAAATAATGACTGTATACTTAATGTGAATGAACCTGCGATGACTAAATTAGAAAAAATGCTTGGTAAGTGCCTTTTAATTAAATATGATGAGTTTTCACATTATGTTTATTAGTGTATATTAATAACCTAAAATGAAAGAGTATATTATGGCTCCAAATACTTTATCAAGATGAATGCCAATGGAGAGTTTCAATATAAACCAAAAACTATTTATAGACTGTATTTTTGCATATAATGTGCTCACATAAATCATGCACTCATGCCTAGAATGTCTATAGTGCACATAGGAATAATGTGCAAAAGAGGTTATGCTGTTTGCAAAACAACATATAATGCACACATTATTAGTGTAAAAATGTGGTAGTCTAGAATTTTCTCAAGGAAACTAAAGCACAAAATAGCTACTTTTATAAAACATAAAGATTGTATTTTTAATGTAACTCATTTGTGTCAGAGGCCTAGGCACTTCATATGTAGTCTTAGTGCAACGTCTAGAGAATGACTCTGATTTTTGTCCTCTGATTCATTCTCCCCCTCCATCTGTGGGTAAGTGTTAGGGTCAGTGTTCCCATCACATAGATATTCTGAACTCAAAATCAAGAATATTCCAATCCTTACTCTCCTCCAGATCCTACCAAGCTAATAAAAGAAATAGCCAGGCCAAAAAGGCCAGGTCATTTCTCTATGGTATACAGTGAGAATCAAGAGTGTTGATGTTGGCACAGAGATACAAACAGTCATGTGGGAATGGTGGAGCAGTTTTTGAAAAGGAGGTGGTATTAACATTTGATAATAATAATAATCTGCTTACTGCATTGAGTAAGCCCTGTATCATTCAATGGATATTCTCAAAGTAGTATTTTTCTACCTAACCTTAATTTAGTACATTTGTCACCCCTGTGTATTAGGCACAGAAGAGCTTCAGAATGATGTCTGTTGGGATCAGGAAAATCAAGGATGGGGCATATGGTCAAAGGGGAATGATTAAAGAGAAGGGTAGAGTAGTTGACATAAGATAGGGAAGGTACTATATTTTGTTGAAGAAAATATATAGTTCAAAATTCCAGTCTTCTGTTTATATTATATCTAAATCTCAAACTATGTAACTTTGAAACTTTTGATTTAGTAAGAGGTATATAACTAAAACAAGAAGAAGCAAAAAAAAAACCTCATTCTGTGAGGATGATGGAATTGATTTCTTAATCACAGGAGGCAAATGTCATATGGATATAAATATACTAGACTTGAAGTTCAGAGAGTGTGTCTGGGTTCAAATCCTGACTCTCTTACTGGCTGTTTGTTGTTGGACAAGTCCATTTACTTCTTTGAAACTATTTCTTCTTTTGCAAAGTGGGAATAATGTCTGCACTGGTATTTTGTCAACCCATAGAGATATGTCAGGTGCTAGTGGCTTAAGGAAAAATTGTATAAAAGACTATCGAGTCAATGTAATTTCTAAGTTGTCTCTCTCTCTTTTTTTTAAATCTTAGGTTGTAAGATACCAGTAGGAAAATCAGTGACTGCAAAACTTTAATAATCCCCAAACAGTTATGGAAAATTTGGTTCAATAATTACCATTATCAAAGGACTCTGTTACAACAAACAGGGAAGTAAAGGAAAATACACATCTTCTCCTTCATAAGACTTTGAGAAGAGTGGACTCAGCTGAGAGGAAGAGATGATCAGTTTAAGCAATCAATGTAATCTTCCCCAGCCCAATGGCTAAACAGGCATTTATATCCAACTCCCTTGTCTTTTAAAATAAAACCATCTTTTGGAAACGTGTTTGGAAAAGCAAAGGCCAACTCCTGTTTCACTAACGCTTTTCAACTTACTACATGCATTAAACTTTTATGTTGATTTACAAATTAAAGTATAATATCAACACTAAAGGCTGTGACTATTAAAAGAAAACTGCTGAAAATAGCTTATCTTAAATTTCTTGTGGCTTTCTCTAATTAAAGTTGGCTCAAATAAGTACAAGTTTGACAATAGATGTATGTAGTAAATTAGCCAGCTTCCTTTATTTGTTGCCACTCAAGGGCCTTAATTAAACTGAATTAGAGAAAGTATATGCAACAAAGGGATGTTAGGTGAAGTTTGAAGTAAGATAGGTGAATAACAACATTTAAGCTGAGAATTAGAATGAGCAGTAACTATCCACTCTGTTGAAGATGGAGAAAGGGACAGTGGGTGAAGTTGTGCAGAGAGAGAATAGTGATCAGAGTGTCCTGGAAGATCTGAAAGAAGACACGCATGACTGGAACAAGAATCATGGGTGATTATAACATTGACTGTCACTGAAATTGAAGAGGAAGGCAGAGACAAGATGCACTTGAACTTATATACTCATGTTAAAAGTTTAAGTTGGAATCAGGGTGCTGTGGGAAGTAATTGTGGTTTCTCAACATGTGGCTCTGGAATTCCTTGTATCTAAATGCCCTGGTGTGCATCCGTTCCCCATGGGACACACAGCTTCTGTTGCACATTCAGATTGGGGAGCCTTTGCTTGCCCATGTCTTAGTGACAGAGGGAATCTCTGTGTGGCTCTGCTTGTTTAGGAAGCCAAGAAAAACTCGTGTGTTGAGATTGACCAAGAGTTGAGGAGTCAGTTGAACAGTGTTCCTGGCAGAGGACTTTCTGACCTGCTGGCAAACTTGGGGCACAGCTGTTGCCCTTGAGAGGAAGCAGGGTAGGAGGTGAAGGCAGGTGGGAGACTGGGACCTCCTGTACTGGCCTCTGATTTTCTGGCACCTTGTTTTCATTTCATGGGTATAGTATCTTCTCTCTCCGCTAACACAGCTTTGTGAGAATTTTCTTGTGTCTATTTTTCTAAGCTTTTTGCCTTTGTCTTTGATGTTTGAGATTTCCCCAAAAACGTATAGTGATCTTTACCTATCCATTGATACTTAGGAGTGGGACACTCAAAAGTTAGTTGGCAGCCCTCTGTGTGGGTGGACTCCCTACTTAGTGGACCGCAGTAGTGGGCACTTGGACAACAACAGCCTACACCCAAGTGTGCTTAGTAATTCTGAGACCACAGTCACTCTCATTTAACTTCTCAAGAAAGTAAGTCTCCAGTATCCTGGGGATAGAGCAGTGGCTGCTGATTATATGAGGTTTGGTGGTATAGTGCCTAAGGCATTTGACTGCTCACCAGAAGGCTGGTGGTTCAAAACCACCAGCCAGCCCTTGGAAGGAAGATTGGACAATCTACTTCTATAGAGATACCACCTCGGAAACCCAAGGAGTGGGTTCACTATGAGTTGAATCGACTCGAAGGCAGTGAGTTTGGGTTTTTTGTTTGTTTTTTAAAGGGTCTGACTACTTCTTACATAGGCTTCTGCCTTCCAGGTATTTCTAATTCTGGAGCCTTCTAGGGTTCTATAGCACAAATTCTTGTGCTTCATCCCCTACTGATCTACTAAGTGAACTACCACTCACCTGTTGGCTTTCAGATTGCAAGTGTTCAACCTGCAATGTTAATTTAGCCAGATTCCTCTCACTGCCTACTTGGGGGAAAAAAAGTCCTATGTTCAGTAATTTAAAGTATACATGTTACCTCTTTGTGAAAGAATGGCCTTTCTGAATTTTGTATTATTTTTTCACTTTTATTGTGATTTTTAATAGTTTTTTGTGAAACTAGTCTTTCCTGTAGAGGGAAGGGTTTGATCAGAATGTACCATCACACACTGCACCAGAATGGTTGGAAACAGCCTGGAAGACCACTAGGGACCCCTGACTGTTCCTGTTCCACAAAGTAGCAATTAAACAGGCGTTTGTAAAGGAGGTTCACGAAGTTTGAACTAACATTTTGTCTGTAATGAAATAAAATCACAGATCCTGGGAATCAGCAAATGAGAAACCTATTAGAAGCTTTTTCATAAAATAAGCAGGGAGCTGAGTGGAAAGATTTCTCAAGGAAAAGAAAAAAATAGATTTGGGATCCAGTAAAGTTTTTGTTGTTTCCACTTAGATCTTAGGATTTGGAATCCATACTGTCAGTGGAAGCTGGGCCATTAAATACTGATACTGAAATAGAACTCCCATAAGAATAAACTTTTCTAGAACATGGAATCCTGCCTTGGCTTTGTCACGTGGAAATGGAAAATTTTTTGACTGCTTCAGAGAACAAAGCAGTTTGTTCACCTATTTTCATGAGAAACTCTCAGAATTACCAATTTCTCAAAGAGATCACATCTGTGTAGTTACAGTTAGCTATATCTTCTTTGGACCAACCACCCATCTGTCAGTTTGTTGTGTTTGTGTATTGCTGTGATACTGGAAACTATGTCACTGGTATTTCAAATGCCAGCAGGGTCATCCATGGTGGACAGATTTCAGCAGAGCTTCCAGACTAAATAGGACAAAGACCCTGGCAATCTGCTTCCAGAAAATAGTCAAAACCCGTAGGGATCACAACAGAACATTGTACAACTCACTTGCTTTGACATGTCATCAGCACAGATCAGTTGCTGGAGAGAGATATGTTTATTTACTGAAGATGAGTTCCACCGAGGGCAAGGGAGACCCTCAGTGAGATGGATTGGCACAATGGCTGCAATGAGGACTTGAACACGGTGATGATCAGAGGATGGTACAGAACCAGGCAATGCTTTGTTCTCTTGTGCATAGTGTCACCATGAGTCAGTGGTAACTCCATGGCAGCTATGATCTTTGTCTTGAGTCAGTGTTAACTCCATGGCAGCTATGATCTTTTTCTGCATAATTGATTTACAAGTGCTGCCTGAGAATCACCTGGCAGCTTGCTTGCATGCAAATTCCCAGGCTGTTCCACCGAGATGGATCCTGTTCTTTAGGCGCAGGGCCTGGATCTGCATCTTAAAGCATCAAGTCTGATGGATCTCATGAGACCATCCTGCTCAGGAACACTGAGCCTAAAACAGTCGGGTGCAGTTTACCCAGACAGTTGTTTGTTCTCAAGGTGTGATGAATACCTTGTTTTGTTGCAGTTTGTTTTATTGCACATCACAGACTACCAGTTGAAAGGTTGTTGCAACCCTGCATCGAGTAAGTCTGTTGGCACCATTTTTCTGGGAGCTCGTGCTCACTTTGTGTCTCTCTGTCACGTTTTGGTAATTCTCGCAATATTTCAAACTTTTTCATAATGGTATTTCACACTTAATAGATATATATAGTGTAAACTTAACTTTTAGGTGCACTAACCAAAAAAAACTCACTGCTGTTGAGTCAGATCTGACTCATAGCGACCCCTTCTTGGGTTTCTGAGGCGGTATCACTACTGAAGTAGATTGCCCAATCTTCCTTCTGAGGAGTGCCTGGTGGGTTTGAACCACCAGCCTTCTGGTTAGCAGTCAAATACCTTAGGCACCACGCCACCAGAGCTCTCTTTATATGCACTGGAAACCAAAAATGTTGTGTGGCTCCCTTTATTGTGATACTTTCATCTTGGTGGTCTGGAACCAAACCTTCAATATCTCCAAGGTGTACCTATATACCCAGAGAAGAGAGGGGGACAGACAGGTGGTAGATGCCTCAGCCGAATTGGTGATACAGCCCCACAAACATATGCTATCAGTGTTTTTCCTGCATGCATTGAGTGACAGGAACAGAAGTGGATATTTCATAAAAATAAACAAGGGCATTTGGAAGCAATCAGCCCTAGGACACGGTGGCCCTTGAGACCAGAAGAACTAGATGGTACCTGGCTACCAATGCCAACTACTCAGGAAAGAATCAAATCTGGAGATCCTGGATAGAGTGGGAGGAAAAATGTGGAACAAAATCCAAAAACTCAATAATGACCAGAATTACTGGTCAGAAGGAGTCTGGTGAGACCCCCAAATACTAAGGCCCTGGAATACATTCTCATTCTGGAATAAAACTCATTCCCAGGGGCTGGCTCTCAGTCCAATAGTTAACAAGATGTACATGCAGACCACTTAACCCAGGGGGATGCACCCACATACACTATGGAAATACATCCCTTGGAGCAATAGACCACAGGGCACCAGAGAGGGAACATTTTCATGGAGGTAATACAGAACAGACAGGAGGAGTGCATAACTATGAGAGGGACAGGGGGAGGGTTACTGGGCAGGGAGGGGAGGAGACTGGGTTAGGGTTGGGCATGGTAAATGGGGAGTGAAACTAAGTGTACAAGTAACATTGAATGTAAAACTTAAAATAAAAATTACACTCTGAATCAAGAGGACTTTTTAATTCACTGGTCACAGCAGAATCATTGTTTCAGTAGCATTGTGGTGGTGGTGTTAGGTGTCTTCAAGTCAGCTTTAACTCACAGTAACCCTGTGTACAACAGAATGAAACACTGCTTGGTCCTGCTCCATTCTCACAATCTTTGCTGTGCTTGAGCCCTTCATTGCAGCCACTGTGTCAGTCCATCTTGTTGAAGGTCTTCCCCTTCTTTGCTGACCCTATACTTTGTCAAGCATGATATCCTTCTCCAGGGAATGGTCTCTTCTGACAACATGACCAGGGTACTTTACTATTCCATTTTATCACTGACGAACTGAGTGATGTTAAATAACTTACCCAAAGTCACAGATCGAGAAACTCAAGTAGCCAGATGTCAAATAGGCATTTTACCTTGAAGTTGTGCCTGAGAGCTGACTGTGGACAGAGAGCAGTAATGACATAAGGGGCTAGAGGAGAAAGGTTCCACTTCTAAGGAAAAGGCAGAAGGAAAGCTGGGACTAGGGGAGAGAAGTGGGAAAAGAACAGGAGAGTAGGGAAGGGGGCCTGAGCAGAACCCCATGTCTGATAACCCCAAGAGGGGTAGGTGTAAGTGA